AAAAAAAAAAAAAAAAAAAAAAAATGCATTTCTGACATGGAAAAAAACTGTCTTGAGAAAAAGGGATCTTTTTATAATTTGCATGAAAATGCTATCGAGGAGAGCAACATTTTGTTAGGGAAATACACATTATGCTACTTAGAAAATTATTGCAAAGTAAAATCTTTGTATCATCAGAAAAATGAAGTTCAGCATTATTAAGACACAATTTGAAATAATATTTTACATATCGACCCCTCTCCCCAGGTACATGTTACATGACACCTCTTTTCTAAAGTAAAGAAAGGCAAAGGGCTTCCAAGAAGTCTGAAAGGAAATTAATTTGTAGCTTGTTCTAGAAGAGGCTGGTTGTTTGGAAAGGGTCAGTGGTGTGCTAGCAAATGTGTGAAAACGTCTTGGGTGTCCCTACTCCAACATACCTGGTGTGGCCATCATTGTAAAGTCAGCTTCAGGCAAAAATCAAACCAGTACAATAAGCAGCTCTTACGGCCCGGTACCAGCTGACTCCATCCCATCATTCATTTGATTTAATAAGTCAACTTGAGGGCCGGAGATTTAGCTCAGTGGTTCTGCTGCCTGCCTGGCAAGTACAAGGTCCTGAGTTCGATCCCCAGTACCAAATAATGATAATAATAATAATAATAATACGTTAACTTGTCAAATTGATTTTAAGTTATGTTTTGATACTCTATGTCTGGGGTTTGAAGTTGTGATTTCCAAGTTCTGATCCATTTATCTGAGGGACAGCTGCCTCCAAGAAAGGAAATCAGGTATCGTCTTTGAAAAATGCCTTCCTTCTCACAGATGCAATTTAAACTACCTAATTACACTGCTCAATTAGATTCCACAAATGATCACTTGTATCAGTGATAACTCGTAGACTATTCCAGAGTTAATGCCAATGGTGATCGACCAAGAATGAGAAGCTGGTGATACATACTCTTTCTGGTACCTTGAGACCCAGGAAATAGGAGCTGCAGCCATTGGGTTCCTGAGGTTTGTAGCCAGGTCTGGGCATTGGTGCTTTTCCTAGCAGAAGAAATATTTAGAAATCAAGTATTTGGGAACATTCATCAAATAAAAATTTTCCAAAAACATACTCTATTCTTCTTTTAAAAGTCACTATTCCTCACCTCAAATACATTTGGCATTTTCCTCTCATCTCAAAGAATTTTATGAGCACTTACTTAGTAGCAGTTCTAATGGCTCGCTAGCATATGACCTTGAGGATAAAGGCTATGGCAAAACCAAACTAAACCACGTTCTTCAGTGTCTCTGGCCACTGTAAAGCCACATACCATGCACAGAACAGAAACACCTGGTAATGCCCTTGAAAAATGGAAGTTTTCATAGCACCATAAAAGTGTTTTTAGATCCTGAGTCTATGCTTTAAAGTCCTTCCTCCTCAGTGTTCCTCAAAATTTTTCTGTATTATTCTTGGACATTTAGTCTTGACTATGAATTTTATTGATATTGTCAGGATTTTGAATAACAACCCACTGTATTTATAATTTTGAGACTACTATCTGTTTAGGATACGCAGTATTTCCAATCTTGGGCATAGTACTGCTCTCTGCTTACTTAGTTCTTTGTAGACTGTCAAAGGAGAGTTGTAATTTTCCCCACATATTTTTTCTATCTCTTGTATAGCTATCTTATTCAGATCCTTAAACAAGATAGAATCTCTCATCTAGAAAAAGGGTTATAGGCAAGTGCAGGAAATCTGCACTTTTCCGGAACACAAGCTGTGTCTAGATTTCTGCTCTGCCAGCCCTGGCTATAGCCCTTGGCTTTCATGGTCCATGATAGAATTTCGGCCAACACATCCATGTTACCAGCAGTGGAATAGAAGCATTTAGAAAGATCCAGTCCTTTCCTTTAATAAACACAACAAAATGTTACACACATCACCTCCTTTTACTACCCTTTGGCCAGGCCTTAACCAAACGTCGACACCTAGTTGCAAAGGTGGGCTAGAAAATGAAGCCTTTATTCAAAGTAGGTGACGAGGAGCCCAGCTGAAAATGAGAGGGGGTGCTTATAACTGTAGAAAAGGGAGAATCGGTCCAAGGGGGAAATGAGCGTTGGATATTGGTTGCTGTGGTATGTGAGGTGTAAGATTTTGGCTGGAGGTTGTCCCAGGGATTTCCATGTCCTGGTATGGACATATGCATGTGTCAGTGCTTTCTTTTTTTCTTTTTTTGGTACTGTGAATCAAACTCAGGACCTTGTGCTTGTGAAGCGGGCAGTAGAACAACTGAGCTAAATCCCTGGCCCCAGGGCTTCATTTCTTTTTATTACCAAGACTGCCACTTATTGTCCCAGGACCGGTCTGCATGACGAAGAAAATATGGCAGAAGGCCAGGTGTGGTGGCGCACACCTGCAATCCCAGCACTCGGGCGGCTGAGGCAGGAGGATCACCACAAGTTCGAGGCCAGCCTGGGCAATATGTAAGTTCAGGGCCAGCCTGAACTACAAAGCAAGACCCTGTCTCCAAAAACAAAACAAACAAACAACAACAACAACAAATATGGCAGAAGTAGAGGTATCTGGATCCCAGACTGTGATACTGTCTTATCCCTCTTTCTCCCCTCCCCTCTCTCATGGACAGCCCCATGGGAAGGACTGTGCCGCAAAGAACTAAGAACTAAAGCCTCCTGCCGAGGAGATATTGTAGCCCTTTTGGCCTCCAGTGATGGCAGCACCAGCTGCAGAGTGACATGACGGTGACTTTAGCAGAAGCTTTGAGGCAGAGCTGCCCAGCAAAGCCACGGAGGATTCCTGACCCTCAGAAGCTGTGATATGAAATTTGCTGTATTAAGCCACTAGGTTGTGGGGTAGCTTGTCCCTTGATGATACATAGCTATTGCAATGGCCATTGTGATACGAATCTTTCCATTCCATTATTTTCTATGTCAGCTTTGTTGACATATAACTCACATATCGTACACTCACCTATTCAATGTGCATAAGAACATTTCTTATGCTCTCAAAAAGAAACTCCACACCCGTTAGCAATCACTTTTTGTCACTCCCTCCTCTAACCCTAAGCAATCACTAAACGTACTGTCTCTATAAATGTTCTGGCCGTCTCACATAAATTAAATCATATAATACGGATCCTGGAGGGGCTGGCTTCTTTCCCTTAGTGTGGTGTTTTTTGGGTTCATGCGTGTGGTAGCATTTCTCAGTATTTCATCCCTTTTTACAACCAGAAAGTACTTCACTGTATAAACAGACCAAATTTTGTCTGTCCATCTGCTAGTTGATGGGCATTTGGACTGTTTTTACTTTTCCTCTATTACACAGTACTTACTACCACACAAATGCATACAAACACAGGGGCATGCATTTCTCCGCAGGAGGGGGCTGCCGGGCCATCCAGTGACCCCGCTTAACTTTTTCAATGTGCCCAATTCAAGAAAACATGTAAATGGCCAATAGGCCTGTGAAAAGATGCTTGATGTGATTAATCATAGGGAGAATGCAAACCCAGATTACTGTGGAACACATTTCACACCCACTAGAATGGCTGTGAACTAAAAAGACAGAAAATAAGTATTAGTGAGGATGTGGAGAGATTGAAGCCCTTATGTATTGTTGGTGGGAATGTAAAATGATTCAACCACTCTGGGAAACAGTGTGATAGTTACTGAAAAAGTTAAAAACACCTAAGCTTCCCAAGATAGCTGAGAACCAGTGTTTACGTGGGTTGTTGAGCTTCGAGTACTCGAAGCCTGCACCTACCCGCTGTATGACCCCAGATCCTGCACCCGTGTGTGGAGTCCGCTTAGGGCAGAGGCCTTTCTGTCGATGTCTTTACTGAGCCTTCAGCCCCAAGTGCATGGGAGCACCCTGCTGCTTGGAATATGAGGCAGAGCGTTTGGGATCCTTTGAAGCAGACGAAGCAGCTGCTTGGGCTCTGCACCGCTTTATCGGGCCGTTCGGTGCCGGCTTCCGGAATCTGCTAGTGAAGGTCACATTGCCACTCTGAGCACTAAAACCCCCGTGCTCGGCCCTGGAGCCACCATACAGAATGCTCTGGACTGAAAAGACCCCTCGTACGTAACACAAGGGGTGGGCAATAGGTAGAGGTAAGCAACGTGAGTGCTCACATTGCATACGTGAGCACAATCACAGGTGCCACCTGACTGCATGTGCTCGTCTCCTGCTGGCGACATTGTGATTTTACCTTTTTCTCCAGATTGTTGTTTCGTAAATATCCTATATATATTGCCTTTATGGCCACCAGGAAAAACTTTTACCTGAAGAAACAAAGGTCTAAATCTGGCGACGTCTGTTTGACCCCTTGGCCGGCAAAGAGCCTTTGCCGCAGGCTCCTCCAAGCTTCCTGACTCCCTCGCGCACAGTTTGAGATTCCGAACCGTCCTGCAGGTGATGGAGGTTGGTTTTCTGTTTGTTTGTTTTTGTTTTTCAATCGTATGTAATGTTTTAAGTTAACTGCAGAAATTCTTCCTGGAGGTGAAGCATGAAGTATAATTTCTATAAAATAAAGGCGACGGCTCAGTCTGGGCAGAAATAACACCCTCAGAGCACAGCGTGAGCAGGGTTTACAGTTTGAGGCTTGAAGCGTCATTGCTGTGCCCTGGCCGCACAGTGGTTTTATTTTCTAGTGAGGCTCTTTAGAGGAGCAGCAAGCTGGCCAATGTTCTGGGGCTAGTGACAGCCCGTTTTGTGTAGCCTGCCAACTAAAAATAGTTGTTATATTTCTTAATGGTTGGGAGAAAAGCCAAAACAAGGATAGTATTTTATGACATGTGAAAATTATATGAAATTCAAACATTAGCACCCATAAAGGAGTTTTACTGGGACCCAGCCACACTCATGTATTATGTATTCACTATGCCTGCTTAAATTGAGGAATATTGGGATAATCTTGAAGTAAGGATGGTTTGCTAATCAGGAGGTAAAATTCAGAGACCATAAAGAAAGAGACTGAAAGACTTATTCTCATAAAACTTAAAACCTTCTGAATAAAGCAATACACCATAAAATAGTTGAAAGATACCCAGGAGGGAGGCTAGGAGCAGAGCTGGTCATGGAACCCGAGTCCTGATACATTCAATTTCTTTCCCCCTCTCAGTTTCATTACTGAAAAGAGCAGTAAAAACTTGGGCCCCCTATGTCTCGTGTCAAGCATTGTGTCCACCCAGGAGGGCGAGGAAGTTAGCATAGCCATTTTGGCCAACAGTATGGAGGTTCCTCAGAAAACTAAAAATACAGAATTCCTGTGTGATCCCAGCAGTCTGTCCCCTGGTAGATATCCAAAGGAATGGAAATTAGCAAGCTGGAGAGAGCTTTGCAATTTCCTGTTTACTGCAGCTTTATTCACAATAGTGAAGATGTATAAGCAACTTAGGTGTCCATCAACAGGTGAACAGATAGAGGAAATGTACATACACAGTGGAATACTATTCAGTCTTTAAAAAGGAAATTCTGTCCTTCCTGACAACACAGACGGAATTGGAGAACATCGTACCAGTGGAATAAGCCAGCAAGATGAATACCCTATGCTCTCACTCATACATGGCTCCTAAAAAATGTTGACCTCATAGAAACAGAATAGAAAGGTAGTTACCAGAGGCTGGTGGAGGGAGAGGAATGGGGAAAAAGGAAATGTCCATCAAAGGGTAGAAAATTCCAGTAGACAGGAGGAATAAATTTTAGTAATCTATTATGCTGGATGTAACTGCAGCCAATTATGTATGGTATATTTTAAATTTGGTAAAGGAATAGACTTGTAACATTCTTGCCATAAGAAAATAAGCTGATGAGGTGATGGATATGTTAATTAACTTGACTGAGTCTTTCTACAGTGTATACAAAGATCAAAACATCACTTGGGGGCTAGGGATTTAGCTCAGTTGTTCCACTGCCTGCCTCACAAGCGTAAGGTCCCAAGTTCAATCCATGGTACCAGAAAAAAAAAAATCACTTGGTACCTCATAAACATACACTATCAATGTTTGTCAAATAAAGTTTTTAAAAGATTGATTTTTTTTCCCCTGGTACTGAACACAGAGCCTTTTCATGGAACTACATTCCCAAATTTTTAAATTTTTAATTTTGAGACAGGGTCTAGCTAAGTTGCTAAACTGTCCAAAAATGGGCTCCAACTTGTGATCCTCCTGCCTCAGCTTCCTAGAGTGAGATTACAGGCATACACCACGCCTGGTTTAAAGATTGATATTTAGAGATACTTTCTAAAAAATAAATAAAATAAAGGTACTTTCTTTTTCTTTGAAACTAACCCCCAAAACAAATTCATCTTGAATGTCGTTTTACTAAAGTGTGACAGTGTGACCAGTATTTACAAGACACAAAACTCTGCTCTATCACCCTCCTTCAGAGTCCTTCACCCACAGGGAACACTTCTGCAATCGTTTCAGAAACAGAAAGTGCTGTCCAGCCCCTGAGATTGGGAGGTTGTTTTGCCTCACCTTGAAAGACAACCCAAAGAACCACACTGCAGTTAAGCTGTTCACCAGGCTGTCTTTCCCATGGCATTCATAACATTTGTTGGCTACTGAAACATCTGAGGTTGAAGGGTAAGCAACTTGCCCAAGGTCACCCGCATTAGGACCCCCCTACCCTTTAATTCAAACCTATGAGTTTGCCATTTCTAGATCCTCAAATGTGCTTCAAGGACTCCCTGCTAGAAGCACAGCTCCACGGGGCTCTGTGTAGCTCCCCGGTAGAGTGTGTGCCCAGCATGCATGAGGCCCTGGGTTCAACCCCCCGCACCCCATTTGCCTCAAAAGCAGAAAACACAGCTCCAAGTCTCTGACCACAACCAACTGGATCAGAACCCTTGGATGCGAAAGATGTCCTATCGTTTATAAACAGTCTCACGGGAATCTCCAACTGGACCCCTTAATACCAGCTCTCGCTGTGCTCTGCGACCCACACAACTGTCACAGCCTGTGACTTAGGCAAGTTCAGGTTTTGTCCATTGATGTGAAAATGAATCGCTGTAAACCTAAGAAGCCTGAAAAGCAGCGTTGGTGCCATCTTGGCTGCCTGTAAACAAAACGCCCACACCTGCCTAAATGATTTAACCCGGGGCGAGGTCCTTGGAATGATATCTGAATTGCTTTCTTTGCTTCCAACATATGCTTCGCAATCACCTGGGAAGGGTTGAAAACCCTGATGCTTGGGTCTGGCCCACAGGGCTTCTGACTTCATTGATTCGGTGCCAGAACATTATTAAAAGCCTTCTCATTTGGTTCTAATGCGTAGCCAAGGTAGAAAACCTCTGCTTTAGGCTGGCGTGGTGGCGTACGCCTGTAATCCCAGCCCTTGGGAGGCTGAGGCAGAAGGATCTCTGTGAGTTCGAGACCAGCCTGAACTACATAGTGAGTTCCAGGTCAGTCTCAACTACATAGTGAGACCCTGTCTCAAAAAACCCCCAAAAAAAAGAAAAAGAAAAAGAAAGAAAACCTCTGCTTTAAAGAATGGTAAGTACATATCAAATGTAACATTTTTTCTTTCTTGTACTGTTGCTAAACTCACTTCTGGCAAAAGACAGTTTCTGAAACAGCTTTTTTCTCTGTGGCCCCAGAAAAAGGTGGCACCTGGACCACCTGATACACCAATCCTTAAAATGCAAATCAGCTGGCCAGCTCTACCAATCAGAGAAACTCTGGGGGCGGGGCTAGCAAGCTTTTAAACGTGCCATGGGAGTAGGGAGCTGTGAGTTTGAGAACCACCGCTTTGGGGAGGTCATGGGCCTTCGAGGAGCAGGGACGGTAACTGCTATCTGCTCAAGAGGCCGCTCGACTTACAGTCAAGCTGAGAAGGTATTTTTGTCGTCTTTGGGCGCAGCCCCTGGTTCTCAGCTCTCTGGGACTCCAAGGATAACACGGTTTAACCCGTTTTCCTGAGTGATTGTCGCCGCAGTGATTGTGGTCATTTGCCCCCCTGTGACCGGGTACGGCTGGCAACTTGGGGCTACTCAGCCAGAGTCAGACACCACGATCTAAACTTCACGAAATCTTTTGCTGCCATTTTAATAGGGAAGGAAGGAGTGGGTTTGGGTCTTGATATGCTTTTTTAAAATCCCACTGTTAACTAACGGAGTTGTCTCTAGGAAGGAAAACACCTGTGCTGTTTCAAAAGCCTGAAACAACTTAACCATTTCCTGGCTCACAGGGCAAACAGTTGGGCCTAACCTGGTTTATTTGATCAACCCAAGAATAAACACACGGTTCAGGGGTCTGGGTGGGTCCCACACAGGCCAGGGTTTTGCCCCTTGAAGTTTTTGCTGTGAGAAGCAGTCTTTTGTTTCGCCCTGTTCTTATATAATTTAAAACTTCTACACTGCAAAACCTAATTCTGGAGCCATGGTTAACCATTATTTGCTAGTCACATGTAAGAAAGCCGTTTCCTTTGCTCAGAGATGAAGGAGACCTAGGGGTGACTCCAGCACCTGCAGTGCGTAGCTGTTTTGAGACTCTTGGAAGCATTGCAGAAAATATTTCTCAAGTCGGCTTTCCCTTTTCCTGCTAGGCTGAGTTGATTTCGCGTTTTCATCTCTAACCCCAGGACAGGATGTTGGATAAACAAACCATCACACCAATGAGACTGCATGCATTCCAAAGGCTGGGGCTGCGGTTCGGTGGTAGGGCACTTGACTAGCCTGCAAGTCCTGGGTTCAATGCCCAGCTCCACCAGAACACATTTGCATGTGAAATTACCTGGAACCGTGGGGCGGGGAGCTCGGGGGCTCAGCATTCTATTCCCCTGAAGCCCGGTGAGGGAGGAACCTGGCCCTGGAGCTTCTCTTGGGCAGCCGGCCCCATGCCTTGGCTCCCTGCACCCCCTTTACAACTCAGGCAAGGAAGGGGGTGGGTGAGCCTGGGGACAGGCTCCCTAGTGGGCAGCCACCACTGATGGGGCAGGAGAGTCGGGCACATTTGTGCCCGTGAGGGGCAAGGGGAAGGTGTGTCCTGCAGGAGGGGAAGGAGAATCCTGCCCACGGTGAGCTCAGAGCTGCTGAGGAAGTTGTTGAAGAGATCTGAGTGCTCAGCGTTGTTTCCTCTCCTCTCCGGGAGCCCTCAGAGCCCCTCACACCCTTTGTCTCCCCACCCTGCTGCTTCTCAGGACCCACCTCCCAATGAATGCAGAAAAATGGCCCAGTTAAGGTTTCTCGGGTAAAATACGGGAAGCCCAGTGAAATGTGAGTTCCACAGGAACCACCAGCAATTTGTCAAGCGTGAATATATCACAGCTATCTTATTGATCATCCTTATATTAGCTGTTTATTTCCCTGGGCAGCCTGCATTTTCTTTAGCTCCCCCCCCGGAAACCTGGCCTGTGTAGGTGGCGGGAGAAGGTACAGAGCAGATGGGGACCCTGCAGGCCCCGGTGACAGCCATGGCAGGAAGAGAAGCCGCCCACTCACCGAATCGGCATCGGTATTGACAGATTCCATTCTTTCCTCCCAGCAGCTCCTGGAAAGAATCGAAGTAGCTGTTCACTGATTCAAAGCTGCCCCGCAGGTGCCGGAGGCCCCAGTCAGAAAAGGACTCCTCTGCTTCGGGGCTGGGGTCGCTCTGAGCCAGGCCACCCCGCAGGCTGAGCCACAAGATCAAGAAGCCAGTGGGCAGCTTCATCCTGCAGACAGGTAGGTCCTGAGTGCTGTCCTCAGACCCCTGCCAGTGTCCCAGAAGTCTGGGGACACAGCCCACCCGGCCGGATGTCAGGCGGCACAGGGAACGAGATTATCGGGAACACTCAATCTGTGTGTTCCCCAGAAGTGGACTTTAAACACAGCTATGGAGGCTGGGATGAGATCAGGGCGATTAGAGAGCAAAGGTGAGGCCGTGGGAGGGCCTGAGAGATCCCAGAGGGAGGACTCGTCAAAGTGGATTCCATGGCCCTGGAGGAGGAAATGTGGGCCCATTCCCGGGAAGAAGGAGTCCTGAGAATTGTTCTTGTTTGTTTGTTTGTTTATTTTTGGAGACAGGGTCTTACTATGTGGTTCAGGCTGGCCTTGAACTCACTATGTAGCCCAGGCTGGCTTCAAACATGCACCAGGCTGGCCTCAGCCTCCTGAGTGCTGAGATTGCAGATGTGCATCACCTTGCCCAGTTTATGCCCTGGGAATTCTGCCCCCACAGCTTGTGAACCTATTGATCACTTACCAGTTTGTCCCCCAGGGCCAGCCTCTTGATAGGAGAGCTTGTCCTGAGGTCTTAGTCACACTCCTAAGCCAGTCCCCTACCCCTACTCTCTGGGGCAATTCAGGAGGATGTGCAGAGGGTTGGGGTGGGACAGCAGGGTCACCCTAAAAAAGGTTGAAGAAGATAATTCTCAAGTCTGCTTTCTGATAGGCTGAGGTGACTTCTCATTTTTATCTGTAACCCCAGGACAGAACATTGGGTAAACAAACCATCTCACTAATAAGGCTGTGCTTGCTTTCACTGGAAATGCCAAATATCTTTGACAGTGAAACTGGCATTAAAGGAGCCACTGCTCTGTCCACTTCAGCAGTAAATACTTGGAGGACAGAAAGACATACGAAGTATGTAGTAAAGGCACTTACTAGCCAGCAGTGTGAAATGGACACTGAACACATAAAACCAGCACAGAGCCAAGAATAACAGTGATAAGTAGTTGTTCAGTTGTTTCCATGGTTTGGAAATGTCTGTATAACCTTTGTGAAAATATGTGCTCCCATTGAATATGAGACATTTCTGCATATCAAAACATTTCAAAGGTAACCTCACTTCTGAAGAGTCTGTTTGTATCTGAGAATTTATTGAACTCTAAATGAATCATTTCATGATCGCCTGAGGAACTGTTGAAAGCAAATAGCCCTTAGAAGTGAGCCCAATAAAGAGAGTACACTGCCCGGAATTTAGCTCAGAGGTTCTGCCACCTGCCTTCTGGTACCAAAGCATAAGGTCAAGTTCAATCTCTAGTACCAAAGAAGAAGGAGTGCACTGGTAAGTTTTTCTGGCTCTTTGGCACAGCTGCTCTGCCTGTATCATATGTCATAACGGGTCTCACAGGACCATGCTCCAGATCACTCCCTTCTGCATCAAAACAGGCAAACCGTATGTTTTTCAGATACTGAGGCAATACCTAAAAATGTCAGGTAGCTTATTTTTTCCCCAGTGTCAGACATTAGAAAAATACTGCATATTTGGAAGACACTTGTCTTTTCATGAATGCTACTTATTTGCATAACATGCTCAGTGAATGTGCCTAAAATATAATAGGCAAGCCCTTAGATGAGCCCAATAAAGAGAGTACACTGCCCGGAATTTAGCTCAGAGGTTCTGCCACCTGCCTTCTGGTACCAAAGCATAAGGTCAAGTTCAATCTCTAGTACCAAAGAAGAAGGAGTGCACTGGTAAGTTTTTCTGGCTCTTTGGCACAGCTGCTCTGCCTGTATCATATGTCATAACGGGTCTCACAGGACCATGCTCCAGATCACTCCCTTCTGCATCAAAACAGGCAAACCGTATGTTTTTCAGATACTGAGGCAATACCTAAAAATGTCAGGTAGCTTATTTTTTCCCCAGTGTCAGACATTAGAAAAATACTGCATATTTGGAAGACACTTGTCTTTTCATGAATGCTACTTATTTGCATAACATGCTCAGTGAATGTGCCTAAAATATAATAGGCTACTCTTCATTTAACAACAGAATTCCGTTCCTGCAGGTAGGACGTTTACTGGTCACTAAATGAGGAATTGTATATAGTATGTCATTACAATATTGAGAAGAAACGTATGATCAGAGGAAACTGCAACTTGACAATTTTGCTTTTATTTGCATAACTCTTACATGCATTACTGTATAATAAAACATAAAGCTATAGTACTGTACTATACAGTAGAGTCAGCAAAAATTGCAGTAGTGTACCAAAAAAATTGTTCTATCAACAAGATGTACAGAACTGTACAAACAGAAAAGGCGGGTTGTAAATCTGAACAGTTGTTAAACAAGTAGGTCGTTAGATGAGAAATATCCGTACACACATTTACACTGTCTCTGTGAAACAGGGTAAATAATATCATTCCCATTTGAGAAGTGGGGAAAACTGAGTTGCCGTGGTTAAAAGGTTTGCTGAGAGCCAGGACCAGCTACATAATTTGTGAGGCCCAGCACACCTGTAATCCCAGAACTCTGCAAGGCTGAGACAGGATCAAAAGTTCAGGCTCAGCGGGAAATTTAGTGACTTAGTGAGATCCTGGCTCAAAATAAAAAGGGTTGGGATGTAGCTTAGCATAAAGGTCCTGGTTCAATGCCCCTTAAAAAAAAAAAAAAAAAAAAAAAAGTATTCCAAGTGCATGCCTGTAATCCCTCCTACTCAGAAAGTTGAGGCCACAGGATCATGAGTTCAAGGCCAGCCTGAGTAACTAAGTGAGACCCTGTCTGAAAAATAAAAACAGTGCTGGGAACATAGTTTAGTTCTCCAGAGTTCACATACACAGACGCACACACCCACAAAACACAGAGCTGTTCAGAAACAGTAAGTACCATTAAAGACATACCTATTCCTTTAAAGAGATCTTATTTGCAAAAAATAAGGATAATAGTGATATATAAATAACAATATAAACAAAACTTTAACATATCGATGCCATATTTTTGTGTAACAGTGCCTTTTTTTTTTTTTTTTTTTTTTTTTTTTTTTTTTTTGTCCTGGGAATCAAACTCGGGTCCTTGTGCTAGCAAGACAGGTGGCAGAAACACTGAGCTAAATCCCCAGGTAACAGTTCCTTATTAACATGCACTATCTTGTTCCTAAGATTTTTGCCTTTCTGAAAATTCATCTATTAGGTCACCAAAGCTTATGCTTTTAATCACATCAGGCAGAGTCAGCATAACTGAAAGCACTTCCAGGTGATCTTGACAAACAAGCTGGAGAGGAATATTAGGTGGTTTTTAATTTTGAGGAGGGTCTTTTTGCTGATGTAACTGTTAGTGAAGCTGAGAGCATTTTTTCACATTTCTAGTTGCCTAAATTTTTTTGTTGTGATAAAACAAACACAATTACCACTTTAGCGAGTGTGGAGCACAGGACCCAGTAGCAGGTGCAGCCATCATGGGTGTGCAGCCGTCACCACCCTCCACTTCCAGGACTTTGTCAACACCCTAAACCGAAACCGGGGACCCACAGAACACCCCTCACTTCTATCTTCTCCCCTGGCCCCTGGTGCTACCTTACTTCCTGTCCTTCCTGAATTTGCCCCTTCTAGTTTCTTCATACAAATGAGATCATGCAACCTATATATCTTTTTGTGCCCGTCTTATGTCACCCAACATCATGTTTTCCAGTTCATCCGTGTTCTGTTCATCATACTTATTACTGCAGAGAAGGTGCTATGATGACAGGTGTACAGATTTCTGTTGGAGTCCCTGCTTCCCAGTTCCGTGTGTGTACACCTAGGATTGGCCTTGCGGCCGTAATTCTTGTTTAACTTTTTGAAGAACTATTCTGTGCTTTCCACGGTGCCTGCACCATTTACATTCCTACCAGTAATGGGAAAGCTCCAATTTCTCCGCATCCTTGTTTGCACTTGACTGCTTTGGATTTGTCTGGTGACAACAGCCATCCTAATTGGTATGAGGTGGTATCTCACATTCTTGACTTGCAGCTCCCTAAAAATGAATGATTTGGAGCACTTTTCCTGTGTTTATTGACCATTTTTTGACTTTGGAGAAAAACATCTTGCTGGGGATTTAGCTCAGTGGCACAGCACCTGCCTGGCAAGCACAAGGTCCTGAGTTCGATCCCTGGTACCCAAAACAAAAACAAATCCATCTATGCCCTTTGTCCTGCCCCCTCTTTGTACTGCCAGGGGTGGGACCCAGGGCCTCACAGTGCTGGGCAAGTGTCCTGCCAATGAGCTGTACAGACCCAGCTCTACTTTTTGCATTTTTAATTGGGTTGTCACTTGTTTAGCCTTAAAAATTCTTTATATAGTTTCTGGGTTGCCTTGCACTCTTGGTTGTGTTTGATACGCAGAAGTTTTTCATTTGGTTGAAATCCAGCTTGGCTATTTTCTTCTGTTGCCTATAGTTTTTTTGGGGGGTGGGGGGGGTTGTATGGGGGTCGGACTTAGGTCCTTGTACTTGTGAGGCAGGCAGCGGAGCCACTGAGCTAAATCCTGGCCCTGTTGCCCATGCTTATGTCATGTCCAAGAAAGCAAAGCCAGGGTCACAACAATCGTGAAGGCTTTCCTCTGTTTTCATGAAGAGTTTTGTAGTGTGAGCTCTCATGTTAAAACCTCCTTCTGCTCTTCCTCCTCCTCCTCCTCTTAATACTATGACAGTTTTCTTTATGTTGCTGGACTGAGGCTGAGTGTCTTTCTTTGGGCTGGCAGGAATATTAAAGTTCATCTTGTCCCCAGTCCTCCAGCTCCTGTCCCCTCTGCATGGATGTTTTCTGTTCCCTTTAGTCATCACATATTTAACGGGCCAGAAAGGAATGCATATTTCTTAGTCTGAGAATTTAAATATGTCTTCTCCATGTGTAGAGGACATTCAGCCTATGGTCAACTACCTGTCTTCCTCCAAATTGTAAAGAATAAATGATTTCCGGCTGTCAAGGAATTGCGAAGTCCAAACTCCAGAGACCTGGGCTCTCTGAAATCAAAACTTTGGTGCAGCCTTCAGCGATGATGGCCGTCTCCGTCCTGGGACAGGTTCCTCTGGAGGGAAGTGTGGCAGACCTGGGGTGGAGAGGATTTGTTTCCGAACCTCTGCTGACAGTAGACTGGACAAGCAGAACAACAGGAAA